GCTGTAGTTTGTGAACTCTTGGCCTAAAGAATGGATATTTAAATTTTTAAGGTAGTGTAATGCTTTCATGATGAAAGAAAATGGAAAATAATTCACTTGCATGTGGAAAAATAAAACAGTGATAGAAAATGTTATTTTGGGAAATAAAACCAAGGAGAGAATTGGCACGTTAGTCTGATATTATTGCTTCTGTAACTTGCTTCTAGCGTGGCATTTGAATATAGCACTGAGATGGACAAGGTGCCCTACAATGCCAAAAGTGACTTTTTTTGTTTCCAGGAATCAGTAAGAATTATGAACCTTAGACAACAAACCATTGCTTTGTTTTTCAGATACTATTCAGTGTAAGTGTCCAGGCCAGGCGCAGTGGCTCACACCTGTAATCCCAGCACCTGAGGAGGCCAAGGCGGTTGGATCACGAGGTCAGGAGTTTGACACCAGCCTGGCCAAGGTGGTGAAACCCTGTCTCTACTAAACATACAAAAATTAGCGGGGTGTGGTGGCGGGTGCCTGTAGTCCCAGCTACTTGGGAAACTGAGGCAGGAGAATGGCTTGAACCCAAGAGGAGAAGGTTGCAGTGAGCCAAGATTGTGCCACTGCACTCTTGCCTGGGCAACAGAGCAAGACTCTATGTCAAAAAAAAAAAGGTGTCCATATGATCAATATCAGAATACTCAGATAATCAGATAATTGACTATCTTCCAAAGGATGTGAACTTGGCTTTTGAAAACCCTTTGGGGATGGCTCTGGCCTGCACAGCTCTGCTTCTCTGTCCTTACAGCAATTGTCCTTGGGGTATTTGTGAAGCATCAGGAAATCCCCTTAGTCAAAGCCAGGACCTGGGCTTTCAGCCACATCCTGCCGGAAGTACAGCCTCCCTCACTCTGTTCTTCCTCTGCTCTGCCCTCTTCATTGGGCACCCCCACACAGCTACCTGATGACTCCAACAAATAGCATTTGGAGTTGTCTTTACTGTGGCTGTTTCTGTAATTCTGACTAAAACCATCACTGCAGTCTGGCTCTCAAGGCCAGAATGCCAGGGAGAAGAAGATGGTGATTGGTATCAGGATCTCCTAATTTTGTTGTTGTTATATTCTCCCTGATTCAAGCGGAATCTATCTCCTGATCAGTTGACTCCGGCTCAGAATCTTTCCTCCCTTCATTGACACAGACACACTCTCTAAGCTTGAATCTGTAGTCCTCACATGCAGTGAGGGCTTTCTCACTGCCTTCTACCATGTCCTGGAATACCTGGGCTCCTTGACCCTGGGGAACTTTACCTTGGCTTTCCTGGTCCTAGGTTTGCCTGACACCTTCAATGAATCCAAGTTCTTGATGTTCAGCATGCTGGTGTTCTGCAGTGCCTGGGTCACCTCGCTCCCTGCTGACCGCAGCACCAAGGGGAAGGTCCTGGAAGCCATGTGGGTCTTCTTCATCGTAGCTTCCAGTGCTGAGCTACTTGGCTGCATTTTTGCCCCCAAATGTTACATTATTCTTCTAAGACCAGATACAAATATCCTCCAAGGTCTGAAGATTAAAATAGGTTCGGGAAGCAGTAAGAATTCCAAAAGTTTATTTCAAAAAGGAAAAAAAAAAAAGAGGCGACACCTGAATTTAAAAATTCACTGTTACCACAATCAGATGCAAGTTAATAATTGAATCGAACTTACTACCTCCGAAGAGAAAGTCAGTCTTTAATGAAATTAAGAGCCATACCACCCTCAGTTATCCTGTTTCATAGTGTGAACGTTAAGATGTTACGCATCCAAGGCTTTTTCTTCACTGTATCCAATCTTTCATACAGAATTTTTCTTCCTTTTTGTGTAATGGCAACCCATATAACCCGGTGTCTTCAGCCAACAATCTTGCCTAGTTTTCCAGTTTGGAGATTGTTTGCCTTCCCCTGCAAGCTGCATTGCCTAGGATTCCTTTCCCTTCCCCTGCAAGCTCTATTGCCAAGATTCCTTTCCCTTCCCCTGCAAGCTGCATTGCATAGGATTCCAGCCAACTGGGTTCTGAGTGGGACCATCCAGAAGGAAGCAGTGTTAGAATAATCAGTGGCTCTGCCTCTCCTCCTAGACATATGTATTCTGCTTGCAGTCTTCATCAAGTGATCCCAGACCCTGTGCCTCCCTAACAATTCTCTCTCTCTCTCTCCCCAACCCTCTTTTTTTTTGAGATGGAGTCTCCCAGTCGCCCAGGCTGGAGTGCAGTGGTATGATCTCGGCTCACCACAGCTTCTGCCTCCCAGGTTCAAGTGATTCTCCTGCCTTAGCCTTTCAAGTACCTGGGATTACAGACACCCACCACCGTGCCTAGCTAATTTTTGTATTTTTTTTTTTTTAGTAGAGACAGGCTTTCACCATCTTCTCCAGGCTGGTCTCGAACTCCCGACCTCAAGTGATCTGCCTACCTCGGCTTCCCAATGATAATCTATTTTTAACTGCCAGTCCCACATTTGGTTCTCAGTTCCTCCAGCACCTGTAATTCCTTGCGGTATTAGTCCAGGTTCTCCAGAGTAAAAGAACCAAAAAGATACACACACACATGCCACGCACACACGAGAATTATTATGGGAATTGGCTCATGTGACTGTGGAGGCTGAGAGGTCCTATGATACACCATCTGCAAGCTGGGGTGTAATTCAGTCCAAGTTGGAAGACCTGAGACAGAGAGGAGCCAGTGGTATAACTCCCAGTCTGAGCCTGAAAGTGGCACTGATTTACATCCCTGGAGTCTGAAGTCCTGAGAACCAGGAGCACTGATGTCTGAGGGCAAGAAAAGATGGATGTTTCAGCTCAAAAAGAAAGTCAGTTTACCTGTCTTCTGCCTTTTTGCCTTATTCAGATGGGCCCTCAGTAGATGAGATGATGCCCTCCCACACTGCTGTGGTTGAATCTTCTTCCCTTCGTGGACTGATTCAGATGCTACTCTCTTCCGGAAACAACCTCACAGACACAACCAGAAGTAATGTTTTTCTAGCTCTCTGGCTGTCCCCTATCCCAGTCAGGTTGACACATAAAATTAACCATCACCCCTGCAATTATATTCCCTCTGCTGTAAACCAGTTCTTTCTTTTTATCTGATTAGACCCTGACTGACAATCTTGCTACTAGGAGTAGAGCCAGGAAACAGATCCTCCTGTGGGATTCGGGATGGGGTTGGCCTGCTTGTGCATGAACACAATCATGATCTTACTGCAGGTGGAAAATGGAATACTGGTTCAAGCAGACAGGGTTAGCGTCTGCCTTACACTTTACTGCATGCCAGGCTGACTTCCATCTGCCAGGACACAAATTCCTTTGCATGACATTTTTCCCTGGATGCGGACGTATATCTGGCCTATCCATGTGGTGGATTAGAAGTGTTGCAGAATGAATTTCTGCCTCCCTAAGCCCCAGAACAGTCTTCATCTATTGACTGATAGGATTGGGTGTGTATGTCAGTTAACAATGTATTGCCTCTCAACTCCAAATTCACCTTTACCATCTGATTTGTGAAAATGGATCGGGTCTTTGATAAGAGTTTCCTTTGCCAGCTGACATGGTGTGAAGCTTTGCTCAGTAGAGGGCGCTGGGAGATGTTTCCATTTTGGTTCTGGTGTTCTGGCTGGGTAGGTTCTTGCAAGATGGACAGGCTCCTACAGTGCTCCGCAGCCAGCAGTGTCCCAGAACACCACCTTCAGTAGTTTTGTAGCAGTGACTCTAGTGAGATATCCGTCCATGAACAATGTTCCCCAACACCTTAGAAGATGGACTTCTGGCGAGTTCGAGAGGGCAGGTTTCCAGAAAGTTCTGCAGAGGCAGCATTACAGCAACTTCTTTGCCCTTCAGTGAGTCACAACCATGACCTGTCCAACAAGGACCTGACCCCGAGAGTCTCCCTTGGATGCTCCAGCTCAGTCCTGCAGACAGTGGCTGCTCTGTAAGTCTGCTATTCCTATATTCTTTCGAGTTCTCTTTGCTTGTTACTAGTCAATCCTTCATTGCTTTATCTGTTCAAATTATTGCATCATTTCCCTCCCCTGATTGGACTGTAACTGTTACTGTGCATAAATTCTCCAGCTCCATTGGCCTTTGGCTGGAGTAAGTTTGAGGCATGCTTTGACTGATTGATTGAGATGGAGTCTCTCTGTCACCCGGGTCGGAGTGCAGTGATGCGATCTCAGCTCACTGCAACCTCCGCCTCCCGAGTTCAAGCGATCCTTCTGCCTCAGCCTCCTGAGTAGCTGGGATTACAGGCCTGCACCACCATGCCTGCCTAATTTTTGTATTTTTAGTAGAGACAGGTTGGGGGGGGCGGTCTCACCATGTTGGCCAGGCTGGTCTCGAACTCCTGACCTCAAGTAATCCACCCACCTCGGCCTTCCAAAGTGCTGGGATTACAGGTGTCAGCCACCGTGCCCGGACAGGAATGATTTTTTATGCTGGTTCCAGAGTGTCCCCAGTGGCATGGTAAAAAACATACATCATTGGCTGCTTTTCCTTTGTTGCTGTGGGAATGTTAAAGGACCTGATGAGGATGAAACATACTTGTTGACAGCCCTGGGAGTCTAGAATGAGGTGGAAGTCACAAACGTTGCAGTTGTTCAGAAGGAATTCCTAGTTCTGTAACTAGGCCAGTGCTGGCATGGAAATAGAGATTACCTACACACCCCAAAGGGTGCTTAGGCCTCAATGCACTTGTTGATTGAATGTGAGATCGAGAGGGCTTTCCAGCAATATAAACATATACAAAAGGTAAAAACCTTCCTATAGCTTCAAGATGCCAAGCAGAAATTCAACTTTTTTTTTTTGAGACCAAGCCTGCTCTGTCACCCAAGCTGGAATGCAATGGCCCGATCTCAGCTCACTGCAATCTCCATCTCCCAGATTCAAGTGATTCTCTTGACTCAGCCTCCCAAGAAGCTCGGATTATAGGCGCCCACCATCACACACCCGGCTAGTTTTTGTATTTTTAGTAGAGACAGGGTTTCACCATGTTGGCCAGGCTGGTCTTGAACTCCTGACCTTAGGTGATCCGCCTGCCTCGGCCTCCCAAAGTGCTGGGATTACAGGCTTGAGCCACTGAGCCTGGCCTAACATACATATGAACAGGTTCTGACAAAAGAACAGTTCCTTCCTTGATGTGGATCATGAAGTAGCAATTATTCTGTCTGTATTCCCAATGCAAACTAAGGATATGCAAATAGATGACCATTTCTGGGTTATCTCAATGTCATCAACTTGGTTATTACAGTTGCTGCCTTGGCATCCATGGTCAGGCCTAACAATGGCCTGACATAAACTGTTTGAAATCCGGTTGTACCCTGTCACCTTTGGCCTGGTTAAAACTTCCTCTTCCCATGTTACTGTTTGCAATATAGCCCACTTGTTCCTCATCCCACTGACCCCAGACCCAACACACCCCACAGCTGCTGACCGTGATAAAACCCAATGGCCAACACCAGAGTCGTGTAGGTAAGTTCCCCCTTCCCACACGTGTTTTCCTTACACTAGCAATTTCACAACCTCCTGTGAAAAGCCTAAGTGAGAAAACTCCTGGAGCCGCTAGACCCTGAGAAAGGCGTGCTCCTACTGGTCAGCTGTCTCTTTCTGGGGTCATGCATTTTGGTTTCCTGTTATCCTTGTGTCTCACTGGACTGGCACACCTGAACCTTACTAGGTAAGACATAAGGAAAATGGGAAATTGAAATGCAAGGTCCTGGGGGACTAGGAGTGTTATCACTACAACATGCTCTCCTAGAGAGTGGCTGTCTTGGCAGGAATAAACTGGACACAGATCAGACAAGAACCACAAAGCGTCTCTGCCAGATTTCCTGTGAGAGAGACAGCTGGCTATGGTTCAGACCCAGGCATCAGGCTGTCAATCAGGATAAAGAAGCATCATGTGAAAGACACACTGTCAACACCTGTGAATACCTCCTCTGGGCCTAGCAGGGCCGAGCTTTATTGCCACTCTCCAGAGGCCTGAAGACCAAATTAGAGGAAGATCTCAACCGTCCCGTTATTCCTCTAAAGAAACGCTAGAGAACAAAGGTAATAACCATCAGAAACACACTTGTTGGTATGGTTTGGCTTTGTGTCCCCACCTAAATCTCATCTCGGATTGTAATCCCCACGTGTCAGGGAATGAACCTGGTGGAGGGAGACGACTGGATCATGGGGGCGGTTTTCTCCATGCTGCTCTTGTGACAGCGAGGGAGTTCTCACGAGGTCTGATGGTTTACAAGTGCAAGTTTCCCCTTCTCTGCCTCTTTCTCTCTCCTGCTGCTGCCTTGTAAGAAGTGCCCTGCTTCCCCTTTCCCCTTCACCTCCTGCCGTGAGTGTGAGTTTCCTGAGGCATTTCCAGCCACGCGGAACTGTGAGTCAATGAAACCTCTTTCCATTATAAATTACTCAGTCTCAGGTATTTATAGCTGTGTGTTAGTAACTGCAAGCATTGGAACCCCTGTGTATTTGCTGTGACCCACTGATTCTCAAACTGTGCTACAATAATAGCACTGCTGGGAATTACCCAGAATCCCCTTCAGAAGGTATAATGCACTCAGCTTGGGATGATGCCTGGGTATATTTATTTAAAAATTTTCAGTTGGTTACATGCAGTTGGAGTTGCAAACCATTTATCCAGAAATAAAAGAATATCTATTGACTAAGAGAGTGCTCTGGAAATGTGATCTCGGGAATAACAGCATCAGCATCACCTGGGAAGTTATTAGAAATGCAAATTACTGGGTCCCACCCCAGATCTATTGAATTAGAAACTCTGGGCGTGGAGCCCAGCAATCTGGATTTAACAAGCCTGCTAGGTGATTGTAATGCCCAGATTTGAGAACTTTTAAACTATCACTAGGGAGAGTTCCTGAATTCTTCCACTTTTTGTGATGGAATAAAAATACCCTTTGGGGTCAGGAGTTTCAGGTTCAAGCCTGAAATCTTCCTCACAATTAAAAGTGTGATCGAGGACAAATTATTTTGCTAATCTTCAATTACATCTTCAATTACTTGTATATTAGAAAGTCAGATAATCCCAGTTTTAATGAAGTTGTTGCAAAGGTAAAAAAGATGTCAGTTCCTCTCTTTTCCTCATTAAGAGGATTATGAAATCTGTGCTTTGACAGGAATGATAAGCATATCTATGTGTTCACCCTGAATCCCAGCTAAGAATACTAAATAATCTGTCAATATAATATTTTTTATCAGTGGCTTACATGTTTGTCCCAAAGTGTGGGACAAATATCACTTGTGATCTATGTGGCACTGGTGCTCAATAACATTAAATCACATGATAGAATGTTATTCTCCTTTCAAAAATTTCCAAAAATTGTTAAAATACATTTAAAAAAACATGTTGGTTTAAAATGCCTGAAACACTTCTCTAAACTTCTAATATCCCCTTTAAAATAAAGCTTTTGACAAGCAAATATATTTTTCTAGACCTTAATACATTTGTTTACCTTCTTTTGAAGACAAGTAACACTAGGTTTTCATATGTGATAATAAAAATGTTTTTAAAGCAACTTTAAGTTTAAAAATAAGTTTACTGAAATAACTACTTAAAACACACTGTGAAGTTGTGACCAGTGTTAAAGTCACTATTTTCCATACTTCAAGGTGTACAGCAGAAATCCCAGCCTTAAATAATTCCTAATGAGGGAGAGAGGAGGACTGGTATATGGAAACTCTGAAAACAGAGATCAGAGTCAACATTCTTATGGCGTAAGTGTGAATAATTTATACGATGCCGAGATACAAGGGTTAAGGTATGAACAATTTAGCAGAGGTTCTTGTGAAACAGATCTTGAAGGTTTAGATGACATTGCACAAGAATGTTTAATAACTCTTTAAAACCAGTTTTTATACCTTAAACACATTGATTAGAACTCTAGTATGCAGAACAAGGAGGACATGATAGTGCCAGCTTGTCCCCGCTCAGGGCATTTTGTAAAACTGAAAATCTCAGTTTGAGTTGAATATTAAAAAAATAAAGCCCATTCAGATGGAGGAAGGGGTTCCTATGATGAAGGTTTTGAAGTGTAGATTACAAGAGCTAAGGCTGAAGGGTTTAAGAATATTTATTCAGACAAAGCGATACCCAAGTACTAAATATCATCTTTGTACTTCTGAGCATGTATCATGGGATAAAGGAACCAGAGAGACCAAAGAGTTGCTAATAGACACCGCTATCCAGCACTAGAATCAGCCATGTTGAACAGGGCAAGCTCCATGACCAGAAATGGTCTACCAGGGAAAGCAGCAGGTATCGAGTGTGTAGGCACCAAGGTGGATGATGGTTGGGATGTTCAGGTAAAGGCCTGGTTCAAGTACATGTGTGAGTTGGGGTGGGGGGAGTGTAGAAAGGGAATTCATGTATGGAAACTGCCTGTTGTGTTACCGACTCTTACGAGCACTTTGAGTCATCCTCTTGCCCGTGAAGGGGCTGAGGCTCTGAGAAGTTTTGCAGCCTTCTGTAGTTCTCATAGCTAATACTCCATTTATTTATTTATTTATGAGATGAAGTCTTGTCCTTTCACCGAGGGTGGAATGTGGTAGCACGATCTCCGCCAACCACAACCTCTGCCTCCCAGTTTCAAGCGACTCTCCTGCCTCAGTCTCCCAAGTAGCTGGGATTACAGCCACCTGCCACCACACCCGGCTAATATTTCTATTTTTATTAGAGATGGGGTTTCGCCATGTTGGCCGGACTGCCCTTGAACTCCTCACTTCAGGGGATCCAGCTGCCTCGGCCTCCCACAGTGCCAGGATTACAAGTGTGAGCCACCGCGCCTTGCTAATACTCCACCTAAACTTGAGTCTATTGATCTTCACAACCATTGCTGTGCTTTATTCTGAAATCTGTGCCCTGCCAGCTCTGACTTGTTATTGCATCCTCATGGGTTGTAACCCAGACAGGAGCCATGAAAGTCTGTTTCATGAATGGGTGCTTTTTACAGTCTCTGGTGAAGTCACCAGCAGCCAGTGTGGGAGAGACAGCTTGAGGTTCCTGCTGCCAAACCCAGTGCCAGCTCAAGTCCCTGCCCCAGGATACCTGATGGAGAACATGTGTACCGAAATGCTGTCAATCGGGGTGAATGTTGCACTGCACCACTTGGATCCCACTTTGGAAACAGAGGGCTTATTTCTGCAGCTGCCAGCAGTGCTGCTACTGCTGCCGCCGGAAAGCTGTCCTCAGTGTTAGTCCCTTTCAGAAACCCCCTCAGCAAAAGAGTCAACTCCATTAAAGTTCTGCCTCCTCATGGGGCAGACCATATGCAATAACCAATTGGCTTGGAAGTGTGGAAAAGCCCATGGGTCATGAAGACCTCACCCTCTTGGCTGAACGTGTGGCGGCTTGGAAGGGCCAGCTCCTGTTTAGAACTCCCCATAAAGGTGGTTATTGCTCTCATTGAGATTTGTCCCGCTGCTCAATTCTGCTTCCTTTCTTTCCCTTTCTTTCTCTTCCGTAGGAGCTGGTCCCAAGAGCAGTTCCTAATGAACATTCAGAATGCTGATCTCTGTCTATTTCAGAGTCAGCTTCAGCAGTCAGCTGCAAAATCTCAGCTCAGCATCTTCCCATGTGGTTTGTCTTCTGTTTCAATCGTACGAATAAGTAAGAGGTCTGGCTACTGCACTGCACTCATTCATTTTTTCTTTCATTCAACAAGTACTTAACTACCAGCCGCATGCCAGCGTGTGCACTAGGGCACTTCTAGAACTGCTGTAATGAAAGAGGGTTCTGTTCTAGCCCTCAAGGAGCTAACAGGGAAGAAAGACAATCAGCAAATAATTACATAGAGAATGATGTGATGACTTTATGAAAAGCGTTTTGAGGAACTGCAGAGCACTACCAGTGAGATTACAGGACTCTTCTAGTTCAGAGAAATCATAAAATCCTCCGAACATGGTGACATTTAATCTGAGACCTAAAGACGAAGGGAGGAGAGTGTATGATGGGAGGTGGGGTGATTCTAAACAGAAGAAACAGCATTAGGCAGAAAAGATATTTGTGTATTTGAGAAAAAGAAGAGGCTGATTGGCAATCTCATGGTGAAAAAAAAAAAACACACACTGACAATGAGGCTTGCACAGATACTATAGGGGCTTGTCAATTTTTTGGTACAGTTATATGCATTAAATAGTTTGATGATGTGACTTGGACTGATGTTTCACATTATTTAATTCTACCAAGAACTGTGTGCCGTCCCCGCCCCACCCACTCCGCCCCCAGCCTCTTNAATGAGAGCAAGGATACTACATCCTTAGGGTTTCTTTCTTTTTTTTTGAGATTGAGCTTTGCTCTTACTGCCCAGGCTGGAGTGCAGTGGTGCCACCTCAGCTCACTGCAACTTCCGCCGCCCGTTTTTTGTGTGTGTGGTGGCAGGTGCCTGTACTCCCAGCCACTCAGGAGGCTGAGGCAGGAGAATCACTTGATTAGCCAGACATAGTGGTATGTGCCTGTAATCCCAGCTACTTGGGAGGCTGAGGCAGGAGAATCACTTGAACCAGGGAAAAGGTTTTCATATATGATAATAAAAAATTAGCTACCACACCTGGCTAATTTTTGTATTTTTATTAGATAAGGGATTTCACCATATTGGCCAGGCTGGTCTCTAACTCCTGACCTCAGGTAATCTGCCCCCCGCCACCCCTGCTCAGCCTCCCAAAGTGCTGGGATTACAGGCGTGAACCACTGCACCCGGCCTTTTCCCCCATTTTTTAATAGATGGGTAAGGAAACATAACTTCTGAGAGATGGTGTGTTTTGTTCAAGGTCAAAAAGCAGTTCAAAGAAGTCAAGTGAGGCCCAGCTGGATCCAAAATCTATGTACCTTGTACTATATCATGTGAGAGTCCTCTGACTGTCTTTAGGGGATGACGTTTTCCATTTGAGTCAGTGGAAGCTCTAGCTTTACAGAGTAATGACCTTTACCTTGTACCCTATTTTCATTCCCTTAGAGCCTAAGGGCCCTTGAGTGGTTTGTTTCTACCCAAATGAAGCTGAAAAACAATCACCAAAATGTACTAATGACCTCCGTGCTATAACACTATTCAGGAGCTAGACCATGGCCAGAGGTCTCTAACAAATCCCACATCATCCATTTCCGATTAGTAAAGTGATGGCTCCTTAGCTCTGATATGTCACTTTTGAAATTCCAAAGCCCGGACTGGTCGCAGTGGCTCATGCCTGTAATCCCAGCACTTTGAGAGGCTGAGGCTGGTGAATCATGAGGTCAGGAGATTGAGACCATCCTGGCTAACACAGTGAAATCTCATCTCTACTAAAAATATTAAAAAATTAGCTGTGCATGGTGGCATGTGCCTGTAGTCCCAGCTACTTGGGAGGCTGAGGCAGGAGAATCGCTTGAACCCGAGAAGCAGAGGTTGCAGTGAGCTGA